GCCCTTACCCAGCATTTTCCTGCCCATCTCCTGGAATTGTTTCCTCTTCTTCCTCTCCTCCTCCAGCAGCCGCTGCCGCTCCTCCACCTCCTGCTGCCGCCGCCGCAGGGCCTCAGCCTCCCGCTCCGCCTTGGACAGGAACTTGGGCTGGGATGGGACAGAGGCAGTGTTACACTGGGCCTGGCTGCCACCCCTGTGCTGCTGGGGGTCCCCTCAGCCTTCTCTGCTCCTTCCCGGGGCCCCCAGACCTCTCCTCTCCTTCCCAGGGGGGCTCTCTGCTCCCTCCTCATGTTCCCCAGCCCTCCTTTCCCTCCTAGGGTCTCTCTGTGTCCCTTACCAGACCCCTCAGCCTTCCCTGTTCCCTCCCAAGGTCCTTCTGCTCCCTCCTGGGGCTCCACCAGGCCTCCCCTCTCCCTCCTGTGTTTCACAGCCCCCCACATTCCCTCCCTGGCCTGCCTGCCCTGTACCCTCTCAAGCCCCCAGTGCTCCCTGCTCCATCCCATGATCCCTCCCAGTGCCCCCTGGCACTCTCTGCTTCCTTCTGGGGTTCCTCTGCATCCCCACGTTTCTCAGCCCTCCCTGTTCCCTCCTGGGGTCCCCCCTGTGGTATCCCCACAAACATCCACACCCTCTGCAGAGGGAAGAAGCTCCTGTTCCTACCTTGGCCTCTGCCTCCTCTTCTGCCTTCTTCTTTGCCAGCAGCTCCTCCAAGGACAGCGGCTGTGCCTGGAAGCAAAGCCGGGTGTCAGCCCCGCTCCCAGGGACCTGAACACACTGGAACCACTCCCCAGGGACCTGGATCCACATGGAGTCACTCCCAACCGAGCCTTTTCCTCCCCCTCCTCACCTTCTCCTTCTTCAGGGCATTCTCCTCCTCCTCCTCTGCCTTCCGTGCATCCCGGTCCTTCCGAGACTTGGAGTCCTTCCCCCTGCCCGGGGACAAACTTCCAAGGAAAACAGCACAGAATAAGACACCAGACACAGCCCAACCTCCAGGGGGTTTAGGGGAGAGCAGGAACCTCTCAAAAAAAGTGACAGGACCCACCTGGATCGCTTGCGGTCCTTGTCCCGCCGGTGCCCATCCTTGTCCCTGTCCCGCTCCTTCTTGCTGCGGTCACGGTCCCGCTCCTTGTGCCGCCGATCCCTGAGGAAGGGGGGGATCACAGCGTGACCCAGAGCCCTCACTCACCCCCCGTGGGGCCGTCAAAGCTCTTCCCAAAAACCCAGGGAGCCCTGGACCCGCCTGACCTCTCTGTGGACTTGGAGCGGGACCGGGAGCGCGAGCGGCTCCGTCTCCGCTCCCGGGATCGGTGTCGCTTCCGCTCCTTGGCCGGGGAGCCCTTGCGGTCCCGGTCCCGCTCCCTCTCCCGCTCAGGGGAGCGGGAACGTTTCCTCTCCTCCTTCACCGGGGATGCATCCCGATCCTTCTTGTCCGCCAGTTCTCCGGCCATCTGCGGGGTCAGAGCG